TGTTGTGTATACATAAAATAATGCAATATGTAACTCTTTGTGTCTGGATTGTTTCATTTACTATATTGTTTCCAAGTTTCATCCATGTTGCAGGATCAGTATTTCCTTGTGCCATCATATTGAAGTATCAATACTTCCTTCTTTTTATGGATGGATAGGATTCCATTGTATGCATAGACCTTATTTTGTTTCTCTACTGATGGCCAATTTAGCGTTCTTTCCACCTTTTGGCATTGTGAATAGTGCTGTTGTGAACATGCACACACAACTCTTTGAGCATCTGTTTTCATTTCTTTGGGTTATAATTTTAGTGATGGAATTACTTGACATAAGTAGGGTTTTTTCCCAAGTTTTATTTATTTATATTATTTGAAAGTCAGGGTGACAAGGGCGTAGTGGGGGAATCCACTGGGTTAGTCCCCAAATACCCACAATAGCTGGGACTAGGCCAGCCCAAAGCCAAGAGCCGGGAACTCCATCCAGATCTCTCTCGTGGGTGACAGGACCCGAGTATTCAAGTCATCATCTGCTGCCTCTCAGGATGCACATTAGCAGGAAACTGGATCAGAAGCAGAGCTGGGACTCGAACCCAAGCACTCCAATATGGGCTAGGGCATCCCAAGTGTGCGCTTAACCCACTGCACCACAATGCCCACCCCTTTTTAAATTTTTTGTAAATTAGTTTGTTTTCAAGTCTAGAATCAAATGTCTGCCTTTAGTTGTAGGTCAGCTATTAAGAAAAGTAGATGGCCTGGGGCTGGCACTGTGTAGTACTAAGTAAGCTAAGCCTCTGCCTACAGTGCCGGCATCCCATATGGGTACTGGTTCATGTCCCAGCTGCTCCGCTTCCAATCCAGCTCTCTGCTTAGGGCCTGGGAAAGCAGCAGAAGATGGCCCAAGTGCTTGGGCCCCTGCAGCAGCGTGGGAGACCTGGAAGAAGCTCCTGGCTCCTGACTTTGGGTCAGCTCAGCTCTGACCATTGTAGCCATTTGGGGAGTAAATCAGTGGAAGAAAGACCTTTCTCTCTGTGTCTCCCTCTTTCTGTCTGTAATTGTACCTCTCAAATAAATAAATAAAAAGCTTTATGTGTATAAATACATATATTTAAAAAAATAGTAGATTGCCCGTCGACTGTGAAGGGGTGTTTCATGGCATAGGGAGTTTTACACGTCCTAGTCATAGCACAAAGGCACTGTGTGTATGTACACGCATGGGAAAATGTTTGACACACACTCACATGCTTTGCTTCTCAGCACAGCTGCCAGACTACTGAAACTGATAAGCCCTGACCAAGCAGCCTAATCACTGAGGTTGGCAGAGGGCCAGTCCATCCCCTTGCTAACCACCAGCACCTTTCACCCAAGAGTGAGGGAGTGCAGCCAGCCCAGATTTGTTTTACCGAAGGCTGGCAGGGGCGGGGAGGGAGGAAGGCCATGCAGCACAATAAAGCATATGCAACAAATGCCTTCTTTTTGTCTCCAGAAGACAAAACGGAACTGATTATCCCCCAAGCGAGGCTTATCGGCCTGCTGCTCCTACAGTGGGCTGTTGTGAGGTAAGCGGTTGTGTGCACAGTCATTTCTAGTGCTTCCTGTGGTTAGCCACTATGGTTCAGAGTGGCAGGATGAGAGTTAGACTTGACCAAACGTCGGCAGGCAGGCCTGGGGCTTCTTGAGATTGCCTCTCCCAGCACTTAACAGAGGAAGCCAAGTAGCTGTGGTGGAAAATTCCCTGATTTACGGCCAGATCTCCAGCTACTCAACTGCCTAAGCAAGAAACCTCATGATTTTTACCCTTGACACCTGCCTCTCTCTCGGCCTCACATTCATCATCCAGTTCTGCAGCTCCTACTTCCCAAATACATCCACTCTGCTCCACCCTCATGCCACCCCACTAGTCCGAGCCATTGTCACCTCCCACTTTGATTATAGTAATAGCTTCATAACAGTGTCCCTACTTCCTTGGTTCCAGGCTTTCTACACAGGTAAAACTTAAGGCTATAGACCCTGTCTGAAAATTAAATTAGTAGAGCAAACATGCTACTTCCACCTTGAGCAGGCAAGAGGCTTCGAAGCTGGCTGATGGGAAATGTCCCGTGGTGGCTCTGACGTCTGTGGTGGATGAATGGCTGCATCTGGACATTAGCAGCTCCGGCATAAATAGGTACTGTAAGACTCTGTAGGCTGCTTTTATTTCGATTGCATGTTTGGTGAGCAGACTGGCTATGTAATTTGCAGAGCTTAGTGCAAAATGAAAATTCAGGATCTCATGTTAAAAAATTATTAAGAAGTTCAACTGATGCGCCTGGGAAGGCAGCAGAGGACGGCCCAGTTGCTTGGGCCCCTAGACCCATCTATGTGGGAGACCCAGAAGAAGCTCCAGGCTCCTGGCCCAGCCCTGGCCATTGCAGGCATTTGGGGGAATTAACAAGCAAATGCAAGATTCTCTCTCTCTCCTCTCTCTCTCTCTCTCTCTCTCTCTCTCTCTCTCTCCCCTCCCTCCCTCCCTCTGCCTTTCAAATAAATAAATAAATCTTAAACAAAAGAAAAAGAATTTGAAAACAACTTCAGCAGAGCATGAAACCAAGTGCAGGCTCTTCTGAGTTCAGGTCCTGTGCTGGTGAACAGGGTGCGTGTCCATGAAATTTGCTCTGTTGGTGTGGTTTAGGGTGGGCTGAGTTTGTGGAGGAGACGAGGAGAACAGAATGTATGGGGCACAGGGGTCTAGGCCCTCTCTTATCTCTGCCTCCAGTGTACTGTCTCTCGTCTTATTCCTCTCTAATCCGTCTACAACATTCAATTAACCAAAACAATCTTCTAAATAAATATATATCAGATCATATCTCTCCTGTCTCCAAACCTGTCAATACCCTCCCATGTCACCAAGAATAAAGTACAAAATTTTCAATGTGTCCCAAAGAATGCTATTAACTCTGACAACTTCTTTAATCTCATTCCATCGCCAATCACTACATCCCAATGAAATGCACCTCCTCTCATTTTCTCTAACATACCAAATCCCTTGCCATCCCTGAGTCATCCATTGGAACATTAGGTCCTCTTAATCTTGTTTTTTTTTCTTCAGGACGCTTACCACTGTTTACAATTACTATTTATTCCTATGAGAATTTATTCACACCTGATTACTTCATTAAACTACAAGCTCATTGAGGGTAAGAATGATGTCTGCCTTGATGATTATTATTGTATTAGCACAATGCTAGGCCTATAGTATGTAATCAGTTAACAGTTTTTGAAAGAATGAATGAAATTTCACATCCTGCAAGCCCACACAAAAATTGCTTTTTCTTTTTCTTTCATTAAAAAAAAATTGTATTTAATTATTTGAAAGGTAGGGTGAGAGAGAGAGAGACAGAGAGAAATTTTGCATCTCTTTCCATCTGCTGGCTCATGCTCCAAATGTCTGCAACAGCTTGGGCTGGGCCACTCCAAAACCAGGAGCCGGGCACTTCATCTGGGTCTCCCACGCAGGTGGCAGGAATCCAACACTGGACTATCATCTGCTGCTTCCCATGCTCATTAGCAAGAAACTGGGTTGGAAGCAGAGGTGGGACTTGATACCAGGCACTCCAACAAGGGATGTGGGTGTTCCAAGTGGCAGCTTATCCTGCTGTGCCATATCACTACCCTTCCAGTAATTCTAATCCAATGGTACAGGATCCCTGCCTGGAGGTAACATCAGGTTGATTGCTATAGTTAACACCAGTCTCTTTAACTAGGAATGACCTCAAATTATCTGCTTATCTCCGGTCTCCTTCCTTCATTGTGCTATCAGTAGTAAAGTTCTCTTGAAGTAGTGCTTCTTTATGTTTACCCCCACTTCTCTGTGTTCTCTTTCACAGGTTCTGAAGCAACTTAGCTTCTTTAAGGGAGGTTTGCTTTCTGGCTTTATGGTATACAGGCACCGATTGTTTTCTGTTTTGTGCATGACTGCAAAAATGAGGCAGCAAAAGCATGACTCTTCTTTATGCTGATGCTCTGCAAATTTTTTTTTTTAGAAAAAGTTTATTCATTTATTTAAAAGGCAGAGTGACAGAGAGAGAGGGGCGGAGGTAGAGAGAGAACTATCTCCCATCTACTGTTTCACTCCCCAAATGTCCACAACAGCCAGTTCTGGGCCAGGCCTATGCCAGGAGCCAGAAATGCCATCCTGGTCTCCCACATGAATGTCAGCGACCCAAGTACTTGGGCCATTCTCCACCGCCTTCTCAGGAAGCAGGATCGGAAACAGAGGAGCAGGGACTGGAACTGGCACTCGGATATGGGATGCGGAAGTCCCAAGTAGTGGCTTAACCCTTTTGCCCACCTCTCTAAAATATTATGCCCTAGAGGAAGGTTAACTGTCCTCCCTGTCCCCACCACTCCAAACCAGATAGAAATCAAAGACAAAGAAACATTTTTAAAAATTATATATAAAGCAGTCAGAGTTTTGAACTGCAATTGTATGCTTATGTTACACTTTAGTGGGTTTGTGTACGTGCTCATTTTTTGGAAAAAAATTTCTATCTTTTATTAGCTCTTTAGAATAGTCCAAGATTCAAAAGAGAGCGCCCTGGCCTTTGCATCCTGCTTTGCTTGTCCTGCAAGGGACCAAGGCTGACTGCAGTATTTCTGCAGACCATTTTGTGCTATGACCCCAGGATGCATCTTGAACTTTGTTTTCAGGAGAACTTTGTAAACAAGCCCTCAGTTTCACAGGCATTTTGAACTATATGAACAATAAAAACATCATAAAATTTCCTGTTTGCAAAAAGGGGCATCTGAGATACTTACGTAATGCACTTAGCTATTCACATTTCAGTTATTCTTATTACTATCAGTTAATGTTATTTACTGTTTCTCTTACGGCTTTTCTGAAAGAGCTGAGTGTGGGTCACTCAGTCACTGGCTTTAGCGACTGTGTCCACAGTGTTAGCTGAAAAACCGCCACCACACATTTTTTTAAACTCAGAACATTACTAAGAATAAGGCTTGGATTTAGGGCCTAAAAATAATTCAATTGGAATGTGAAGAAGAAATTGAAACATCATTACGCAACAGGCCTCCAGCATATGCATACTTATGTCTGGATATAGGATGTCAGGAGATACATATTTATCACAGGGCTTTGGGGGTTTGTCTTCTGACAAAAAAAGCAGACCTTCATTTACCAGGATTGCTTTTCTTTTCTTTTTTCTTTTGTGTTTTTTCTTGCAGGGAAATTTTAAAGATGTTTCTTCCTCCACTTCCTTCCTTCCTTCCTTGTACTGTCCGTGCTCAATGTGAATCTACAATCTTTGCAAACTTGAATGGATGAAACTGTTAACAAATCACCAGGGAGCAGCCCTGGGACTGGGGTGTTTCCTTCTAGATAGGACCAGTGAACCGACAAGGCAGTCTAGTGAGGGGTGTTTTTTTTGGGGGGGGGGCATTGAGAGGGAAGGTTGTTTGTCTTTAACCATGCTTAAGTAATGCAATTTGAGATTCCACGAAGACAATAATAATAATAAAAAAAGAAGCTCAGCTTTGGCAAATTCCTCATTTTTTTTCTACTCAAACTCCTGGCGCTTTGGGGGGTGATTTGGGGGGGCGCTCTGGCCTCTGCGGCCCACCCATGTAAATACAAATACAAACACACACACACATACCCCAACACTGAGGGTTTCCCAGCAAAATGCTCTGAGCCGTCAACCCAGGCCATTACTTAAAGAAAGACTTGGTTTGGTTCTTTCTAAGTGCCAGAGCGACGAAGCGCACCCAGGCTGGGAAGGCTCACCCCAAAGCTCTCAGGGGGCAGTTCCCGGGTCAGCCGCGACAGCGCTGGCCATTGCACCGAAGCCGAGCGGCGCTGAGCAGCGGAGCCTCTCTCCACTCCTGGGTCTGCTTTTCTCTCCGACGTCGCCTGCACTCCAGAAGTCTGAACCAGTAACACACTTCGCGAGCCTTCCCCCGGACCGAGAGCTCAGCTGCCCTCACCGGATCCCGGGCTTTCCTGAAGGGCACAGCGAGCAGGCAACCAGGTGCAACCGCGGGCCGCTCGCTCCGCAGGCGCAATCCCCCAGGGCTGGTGCGGACGGGAAGGAACGAGTCCAGACCACGGGACCTTCCTTGGCTGTGGGCCGACGCCCAGCTGCCCTTGACCTCCCCGGCAGTCTGAGGCGCGCGCCGGAGAAATGAAAGTAAAACCCGACCTGGCGCAGACCCAGAGGGAAGCTGGCCACAGGTAGGTGACATCCTCCGAGGACCGACACACAGCCAGTCCTGGCCGGGATCGGTGCGAAGAGCCCGCCCTACAGGGGACAAAGTGAAGGGAAGAGACAAGACAGGAGAGGGGAGCGTGAAAAACAGCAGTGAGTCCGGGCAGGCTTCCGGAAGGGGCAGACTCGCCGTAGTACCTGCGGTCTTCGGTGCGCACCGACCAGATGCTGCCCGGTTCGCCGCGCGGCACCCCTCTGCCCTTCTGCGTCCCAAGCCCTCTCAAAGTCAGAGAGTGGCGTCTGCACTTCGCCCTCCGCTGCAAGTCAGGGCCGCTCAGGTGACTCCCTCGGGGAAGAGTCCTCAGAATAAATAACCTCGGGGCAGTCACTTCTCATTTCGGTGCAAATGCCCAGGGTCCCTTTCCCAAGAAAAAGGCGGCCAAGCCAGCAGCGCACCGTGGCCGAGTTCCCGGAGCCCAGCGCCCAGCAGCTTGGCCCTGGGTCTCAGAAGCGTGCGGCAGAGCAGGTACGTCCCTGAGAGCCCACGTTCTCGACCCGGACGCTAGGCAGCAACGTGACCCGCCCGCGTTCGCGCGGCAGCTAGCTAGGCGGCGAGGACAAGCCGCCAGTCTGGCCAGGGGTCTTTCCCGCTTGTCGGTGGGCTTCGGGACAATTGCAACGCGAACGCCAGACACCTGCGTGCAAGGCGCTGAACTTTTGCCTTCCATTCTGCCTCTAGAAGAGAAAGACAGCGAGTCAAGAAGCTGTGGCGGAAGCGCAAGGCAGGGGGACAAACGTGTTTGGGCCGATTCATCGTGATCAGGCATACCCTCGGGCGGGGGCTGGGACGCTTCTCCCCGCCTCGACGGGATGGTGACCCCAGCCTAGAAGAATCCACGCCGCGCCCCAATTTGCCCTACTCGCTGGCGGGGCCGGGGAGGGCTCCTCCGCTTCCCACCTTTCCCGTGACTTTGGGCAAGGAACTTATTTCATCTGAATTTCAGTCGTCCACGGGGGCAAATGGGGAACGCGCTGTCACCCTCCTCCCCTCGCTCAGGTTTCACGTGGAGATCAAAGGAGAGAGGGCCCTGTCTGTTCCTAAACCATAAACGAGGCATTAGCGCGCGCCGTGGCAGCCGAGCCTCACGTTTGCAATGGGCGAATCGAAGCGGCAGGGCACTCTCAGGTTATCACCTTATAAGGCATAATTGGATGACACGCGGGGAAACATCGGCTATTCCTGTATTTCCAAAGAGGCACGTCAATTCTGAAACTTCACATATTTACCCCCTCCCCTCCAAATCCAATTATCGATTCAGCCGCTGCGAGCTTTGCGTGTATTGTGAAATCTTAACTAGCTTATCCCAAACCCCCGAGGTCTGGTCGTCTCTTGGGAGCCCAGGAGCCCTGGCTCCTCGCTGCTCGGCTCTGCTCTGCTCCTGGACCCTGCCCCCCGCGACTCCGCGGGAGCCTGGGGTCGGGGCCAGGTCAGACGCTGAGCCGGCAGGGGGCGCGGTGCGCCTGAGACTGCAGCTCCCCAGTCCCAGCCATCCGCTCCGGATCCCCCACTAGTTCTTTCAGCTCCCTGCTGGGAGACCCCCCTCTTCCAAGGCTGCATAGATCCCGGGATAAGGACCCCAAGGGGCTGTGCTTACCCTCTTTTCCGCCGGACTTGCCATGTGAACCCTGCGCCCAGCGAGTTAGGGCTATGGCAGTTTCTGCACCAACCTGGAGCTCTCCTCTTGAGTCTCTGAGCTCGAGGGACTCGCGCTCTCCCCCCACCAACCCCACACCTACAGGCAAAGAACGCGCGCGCCCGAGAGCAGAAGCGCGCGCGCCGGAGGAACAAGAGGGAGGGCTCGAGGGCAGTCCAGGCCCCGCCCCCTGAGCGCTTATAAAAGCACGGGAACCCGAGCTGGCTACTCAGTGGTTTCTTGGTGACACTAGGCGGAACAGCTCGAGCCTGGCCACTTCTGGCTTCTCACCGCAGTCGCGCTTGGACTTGGGGGTTTTGCCGCTGCTAGAGGGACGCCTCGGACTTGCTGCTCTCAGAACTTGTCACATCACCCTTTCAGCAGGTAGGTGCCGCACGATCAGCGGGGTACAGCCGGCCCTTGCTGAGGCCCGAAGCTGGGAGCGCTGGGAACAATCCACTTGGGGGAGGGGAGAGGGGTCCTTGGCGGGGAACACCTCAGATCCCGGGCGCAGCTCGTAGACACAGTAGGAGCGCCAAAGACCAGCTCCCCTCCGTTCCGTCCGCTAAGTTCCACGAAGTTGAGCAGGGAACCTCTGGGAACCTGGCGCTGTGCAACGGCCTCCCCTGCAGAGCCTGTCACCCGCCCCCAAGGGTGCAGACGCCTCTGGCGGCCTCTCTGCGCCCCGAGGAGATAAGCGCCCGAACCAGGCAGAGCGCGCGCTGAGCTCGCCCGCGCCAGGGTCCCCTCCCGCCCTGCGCGCCCCGCCCGGGCCTTGCAGATGGCCTGGGTGCTCACGTTCCACTCCTCTTCTGTCTTTTGCCAGGGTCTGCGCATCGTCGTCGGGATGAAGTTGGTCTCTGTCGCCCTGATGTTCCTAGGCTCACTGGCCTTCCTAGGCTCGGACGCCGCACGGCTCGACGTGGCGTCGGAGTTCCGAAAGAAGTGAGTCCCTGGCAGCGCCTTGCCCTGTCCTGGTACCTGGCAGACGAGGGAAATGGACCGCTGGTCCCCAGGGGTTAGAAGTGAATGGGCCGGGCAGGGCCGGGCGGTCGCCTGGACGCACGCGAATCTGGTCTGCTTCTGTCTTCCAGGTGGAGTAAGTGGGCTCTAAGTCGTGGGAAGAGGGAGCTGCGGGACTCCAGCAGCTATCCCAGCGCGCTCGCTTCAGTGAAGGCAGGGCCTGCCCAGACCCTCATTCGGCCGCAGGACGTGAGAAGCGCCTCGCGCAGCCCGCAGGCCAGGTAACCGCCGCACGCAGCTGGAGACTGGGGTGCAAGCGGGGCGGGGGGGGGGCGCTCTCTCTCCCCACCATTCCGGTCCTGGGCATTGGCAGGGCTGGATTGCAGCTCAGAGCGCCGGGGAACATTCTCTCTGCCTCTGATCTTAGAATGGCTCCCGTCCGCGGTGTCTGGGGCCACAGCCCTGCTGGATGGGGTCTCAAGTTGCCTCCCTTTCGCTCCCCAGCAGTGCGGACGCCGCCCGCATCCGAGTCAAGCGTTACCGCCAAAGCATGAAAAATTTCCAAGGCTCCCGCAGCTTCGGCTGCCGCTTCGGGACGTGCACGGTGCAGAACCTGGCGCACCAGATCTACCAGTTCACCGACAAGGACAAGGACGACACGGCCCCCCGGAACAAGATCAGCCCTCAAGGCTACGGCCGCCGGCGCCGGCGCTCCCTGCCCGAGGCCGGCCGGGATCGGACTCTGGTGTCTTCCGAGCCACAGGCGCGCTGGGCTCCGAGCTCCCGGGAGCACCGAGTGCTCGCCACCCTCCTTAGGATTTAGGCGCTCGTGGCAGCAGCGAGCGGTTGGGCGCGCATCCCGCTGGCGCCTCCCGGGGCCGAGGGCTTCGCGAGCCGGATGGGGACCGGACTGAGACAGCCCTGCACAGACCCCACGTCCGGGAGGCAGCGCCGGGCAGCCAGCCCTGTCTTTGCAGCAGCTCTTCCTCCTCCTTCCCCTCCTCCTCCTCCTCCGGGCAGCGCCGCCTTGGCCCTGATCAGGCCTGGGCGCCCCAAGGGGGCAGAGGAATCCGAGGGAGTGTTTGCCAGGTTCACAGAGAGGAGAAACTGAGAATTACACGCTTGGACTCCAAGGGCAAGGGTCTGAGCCACTGCCTGGCCCGCCCCCAGACCGACTTCTCACGGGTGGCACCCCACGGGGCGCGAGCCTCCTATTACTTGAACTTTACAAAACCTAGAGAGGAAAAGTGCAATGCGCTATGTATATACAGAGGTAATTATCAATATTTAAGTCTGTTGCTGTCGAGATTTTTTTGTAACTTCAAATATAGAGATATTTTTGTACGTTATATATTGTATTAAGGGCATTTTAAAGCAATTGTATTGTCCCCCTCCCCTTTATTTTAAGGTGTGAATGTCTCAGTGAGATGCAAGACGGTTGTTGGAGTGTGTGTGTGTGTGTGAGAGAGAGAGAGAGAGAGAGAGAGAGAGACTGATTACCTCTTGTGGAAGAAGGAAACACCATGTCTCAGTATAATCTATTTACATAAAATGGGTGATATGCAAACAGCAAACCAATAAACTGTCTCGATGCTGATTCATTCTCGCTCACGCGTCGAGCGAGGGCGGCTGCCTCTCGCAGTGGTGCGCCCGGGAGCCTCGGGGTCCCGACTCCAGGCTTGGGGAGGCGCGGCGGGGGGCCGACCTGGCATCTCTCCATGCCGGGTGTGCTGTCGCGGGCTCTGTTCACGTGGGGAGCCCAGAGCGCGGGTCCAGGGTGCGAGTCGGGGCTCCGAGGAGACGCGGGAGGTCACTGCCTCGCGTGGCGGCCAGGGCGGGCCGGGTAGGGTGAGCCCCACCGCGAGGCGCGCCCGGACTCCTCGGGTTGCGCAATGGCTTCAGCAGACTTGCGGCAAATCCAGGTTTACCGAACCCTGCGCGTATCGCGCATCGGAAAGTTGCGGCGGTCTCCGAAGCCTTGCGAGCGCGGAGCTCGCTCAGCGGCCGCGCGCGTGCAAGTGAGAAGCCGCCCCGCGGCTGGAGGTTCGGTAGCCTGCGGACTGCGCGCCCCCAGGCACGGGGACGGCAGGGCGGCGGGCTCATCTGCGGGGTGGCGGCGCCCCCTGCCGGCCGCCGCGGGGGGGCCCCGGAGCCCGGCGGCTGTACGTGCGGTTTAATAAGTTCTCCTACGTGGGAGTCGGCACACAGCCTTAATGAAAGAGGAAAGAAAAAAACAGTCTGCAGATGCCAGCCAGGGCTGCCCCCCCAGACCTGCGCGGCGGCTCCCCGCTGGGGCCGGTGACTCAGCGCCCACACGCTGCGCCGCGAGCAGCTGCCGGCCGAGGCGGGCGGGACGGACGTGCCGCCGGAACCGTGCGCCGCCGACAGCCGAGACCTTCATTGTTCCGCCTCCCGTGGCCGCTCTCCCCTTCCTTCCTTCCTCTTTCCCAAGCCGTTTTCGGTTTTTTCTCCACTTCGTTCCAGCCGTCCTCCCTCCCCGTGCTTCCTTCGTGCCTTATCGTCTCCGAAAGTTGCCCCCGGCTCCTACGGGAGATGCTGGGCACTGAGCCCCCACGGAGTGTGCAGCAGGGCCGAGGGCCGGGGACACGGGACAGTGAGAGTGGAGGGGCAGGGGAGGACAGGGGAGGCTGTGTCCCCGCCTAAGGAGCAGGCACCTCTGGTTTTGACTTCCCTGTCCAACCAGTATCCTAGGATCCAACATGGAGACCAATGCCTGCTGCACTTTTTCCCTGGCCTTTCCGCTAACACGCAGGGCTGAAACGTCGGAATTCCCAGGGGCTCTCAGACACCTCCCTGGTGAAGAAGGCCTGAAGGTGAGCCTGGAGAGCGGCCTACCTCCTACTGCAGCTTTCGCCGGGCTCCCTGAGCCGGGGTGGGGATGGGTAGCTCCTTCTCCTGCACACTGCAAGAGACAGGTGCCAGGTCGGGCGTTCAGAGGCAGCTGGCCTGACTCGGAAGCAGTTTGTCTTGAAGAGAGTGGACTCCAGCACGCGTGGAATTTCCCCAAGACGGCCTAAGTGTGGGGTGCAGGCGGCGACAGGATCAGGCCTCCTACAGGTCGTCGTCCTGTTTGATCTTCACAATCAGAATGGAGGGGGTCGCAGATGCAGCCAGGGGCCTCTGGATACTCACTTGGAGGGAGCTCTGCGCCAGGCACCCGGATGAATGAAACGTGGCTGCAGCACCCAGTACAGACTTCCCATGCCATTGAGTGGGTGCTGGGTGGTCTCCAAGGGGCCACAGAAATACAGCGTGCCACAAACTCCTGGGACCCGCAGACAGTGGCTCCAGACGACACACTCACCCTTCTTCTTGGGCCAGGCTTTGTCCCTGAGCCACAGGGCACTCGGGCCAATCCTCACCCTGGCAGAGTTTCAGCCAGCAGCTGGAGCTGCCAAGGGCAGGTTGGGCACTAGCTCCAGGCTCTGGTGGGCAGGGAGCAGGCATCTAGCCTTTTGCCCGGGCAGTCTTATGACTTCAGGGAATCCAAGGCAAGTGAGGGAGATGCTTCGGCTCTGACAGCGAAAGAGGCAGCTGCTCAGCTGGAGCCCTTCCCGCTAAAAATCCTGTGACTTGGAGACATCGCCGAGGAGACAAGAGACCCTCCTGTGACCAGTATGGTCTGAGTTCAGGATTAACTGAAGGTCACCACTGGGCCCTGGGCCCTGCCCTGTAAGCTGTTCCACCAGCCTTCTGGCCTTTTTTTTTTTTTTTTTTCCATAAGGTGCTGAGCTTATCAGCACAGGGCCCTGAATGCCAAGAACACATCATTTGTCAACAGCACTGAGTCATTTGTGAGCTCACTCGACCTGTCCGCAGCTGAGAAGTAGTCACAGCTTTTATCTTCAGCTACTGTTGCTGGCTGTGGGAACGGTACCCTCCATCTGTAATCAAACACGGGTACCAGGCCAGTTCTTGGAAAGCCAGCACCTGGGCTGACGGACTCAGAAGGGAGAGGGTGTGATGGGAGAAGAATGGAAATGGATTTTTTTTTTTTTTAGTGCCTGTCTGGTGTCAGATATCCTCTTACCTCCTAGCCACTTTATATACCTTATCTCATTTAATTCTTACAACAACCTTGTGAAGGAGGTGATATTATCTCTGTAGATAAGGAAGCTGGACCTCAGAGAGGCAAAGTAACTTAGGCAAGGTCACACAGTGAGCAGTAAGTGGAGCCTGGATTTGCACCCAAGGGCTGTAGGCTATTTTGATGCTATGAAGACATACGGAGTAAAGAAGGATAATTTTAACAGTGAGGCCCTCAAGCCAGCTGTCCCCAAATGTCCTCTAATACAGGGATGGCTTGGGTAGGTGAATTACACCTGCGGTTCAGAAAGATTAACAGGAGGGCTAGTGGGACCGGGCGGGAGAGCTGGTTCGGCAGTAAGCTCAATGGGCACAAAATAAACAAATGAAGTGAGTTTGAAATTCTTGGTCCTGGTTTGCAGCAGGGATTATAAATTAGGAATAGCCTCTTCCCCCTGAGCTAAGCCACTGACCTCTTCGGTTTGCATTGCCAAATATAGTGAGACTATACACTGACAGCCTCCCGAGCTGGCTTCGCAGGGGAAGGCATCCCGGGCTATTCCTGGCCACGTAGTGTCCCACATTGTGGGTCTTCAGTCGCCTGGAAGAACACCTGTGTCTACAAAGCTGCAAATAGTTTCCACCCATGAAGTGGACCTTTCGTGTTGGCAACTGCTGCTCAAGGCAGCTTTTCAGAGGATGTTCAGTCGGACTTGAGCGGGAGAGAGAGTCACGAGGTCCGCCCCTCCAGCTCCCAGCCCAGGGGAGAGCCTCCTTATCGTGTCCCGCCTCCCACCTACGTCTCTGCCAAAGCCAGATTGGAGGCTTGATCTTCATTTGCATGGGAAGAAGGGTGAGGCTGGATAGCTATCTGGTGGTCCCACTGGTGTTGTTCCAGGACTATTTTGGAACATTCTGGAAAAACAATAAAATGACTGTGGCCACACAGGCAGCTGAATTTAGTAGGCTATTGGACATTTATCCAACAGCAGGGAAGTCGTTCTGAGTGTCAAGATGAATTTTTAAAGCATAAGAAATGCATTTTTACTTATTACACAATATTTACTCAATGTAGAAAAAAAGGGAAGATTCACATTTAATATCACTCCCAAAGATAGCAACTACTCATATTTTATTATATAATCCTTTTAGATCGTTTTATAAAGCATTGTATGTATACAAATACAGACTTTTAAAAAGGGAACTCCGGAGGTGTGGTGTGGTGGTGCAGTGGGTTAAGTCTCTGCTTGCTACGCTGGCATCTCATTTCAGAGTGTCAGCTCAAGTCCTGTCTACTCTGCTTCCAATCCAGTTCCCTGCAGATGCACCTGGGAAAGCAGTGGGAGATGGCCCAAGTGCCTGGGCCCCTGCACCCACGTGGGAGACCCAGATGAAGCTCCTGGCTCCTGGCTTCTGGCTTCAGCCTGGCCCAGCCCTGGCCACTACAGCCATTTGAGGAGTGAAACAGTAGGTGGACGATCTCTCTTTTTGTAACTCTGCCTCTCAAATAGAAAAAATAAATGCAACATTTTATAAAATGGAATGTAGGTGCAGAGAGCTGAATTAAACATATCCTTCAGTTTAAGGCAAATTGTCATCCCCAGTCTGCACAGCTTCTTCTCTTATGTTAATTATTTTTTGTGCTTTAACTTTCACTCCTCCCTATTTCCTTTATAGGAACCCTTTGTAGAATGTTTGATATCTGTACTTAATATATGTATGTAATCTTATAAAATGTGTTACTATTTTGCAACTACAGGTTTTTAGTGTACACCCATATTGTGTTAAAACTTTTGTTGGGGCCCACCTTGTGGTGTAGCAGGTTAAACCCCTGCCTGCAGTACTGGCATCCATATGGACTCCAGTTCGAGCCCCAGCTGCTCCACTCCCAGTCCAGCTCCCTGCTGTGGCCTGGGAAAGCAGCAGAAGACAGCCTGAGTCCTTGGGCCTCTGCACCCATGTGGAAGACCTGGATGAAGATCCTGGCTCCTGGCTTCAACCTGGCTCAGCCCTGGCCAGTGTGGCCATTTGGGGAGTGAACCAGCAGATGGAAGATCTTTCTTTCTTTCTCTCTCTCTCTCTCTCTCTCTCTCCCTCTCTCTGTAACTCTGCCTTTCAGATAAACAAAATAACCTTAAAAAATTTTGTTGATTGCTAAGTTTTTCACTCAACACACAAAAAATATCCAAGTTTCTTCTTATGAGTGCATCTTAGTCTGTGTGATGCATCCACAGCATTTTACTTTTCTTGTCTTTTAACGAGGGACACCTGGCCTGCTTTCAGCACCTCTCTACCACATGTCCCCCAGTGGATCTGAATGAGAGTTTCTTGGTGACGTAAGTGCAGAAATCTCATCATTTGGTAAAAAAGCATCTACACCTGGATGATGCCACATTGTGTGGAATTGCTTTCCCAAAGGCCGGTATTCCCAACAGCACCACAGGAGAGGCCCCACCGCCTGTGTCCTTGCCATCTTCAGTGTGGTGGCTCATTTTTTGTGTCAACGTGTCTGGGCTAAGGGATGTCCAGGTAGCTGGTAAGGCAGTGTTT